CAACCAGACCTTGGAAGCCGGAGAAGCCACAGAGAGACCCCTGCCAGCACTGAGATGTTTCCAATGACACTGGATCCAAAGGCTTTCTACCCACTGTCCTGTGATCTTCTGCATTTGGCATCATTGCATGTGTTTCATGAGTCTGAAGAGGACTTTATAGATTGATATTGGAAATATGGGCTAATATTGGACTTATGGACTTGATCTGGACTGGGCTGGGACGTTTTCTCAATGTTCAATTGCTCTTGTATATAAATCTCTTTCTTGTACACATATGTGTGTCCATAGATTGTTTCTCTAGTCTACCCAGACTAACACAAATACCAAGAGTTTTAACACTTGGTTCCAGGCTCTGAAATACAATACAAAAGTTGACAACTTCAGTTCTTTGAAACAAAGATACATCTTTCAAAGGTCTTAGAAAATCACTGTGTGGACTGTGCTAACATATAAAGATAGTCATTAAAGAATTTTACTTGACAGATATAGATTCCAAATAGTAAAAGTATTCAGTAAAACTGGTAAATTTTTAAAAAGGAAGAAAACCAAAAGGATTTGCTGATGAGAATCAATGACAACAGCCGCTTTCAGCATGTATTACAACTCAATTTAAAGAAGGCTAAAATCAACAGGACCAATAGACATCAGCATGATAAACAGAAAAGATTTTTTTAAAATAGTACAGGTATGTTGAATATAACATAAAATTAAGTTTTATAGCTCTATGTATATCACTGTTTATTGAGCAATTACTATGCACAAACCATTTTATACAGTAGAGTATTATGGTTTAGAATCAGAAAGGCTTGTTTCAAGCTGCCACCTTAGAAGCCACTCAGGAGTGAAAAAGGGACACGTGTTTATTAAATTTTTTATTTATACAAAGATTTAAAATGTCAATTACCAGGAAGGATTCTGCCATTAGGCTAAAATACCAATTGTCCCGTCCCCAGCACATACTTTGCTTCCAGTATGAGCATCCTCCCCAGTGTATAATTAGGTGTGGCTGCTTTCCTCTTATTTGAAGCAATCTGGAAAACATTCAACCCAAGTCTAAGTAATTGAGGGAGCCAAGAATTCCTATTACAAGAATTAATTATGCCCTGAAATCACTTTATTTTCAATTTTTAAAAAACAATTCAAAAGTAATGTGTGTTGGCTATTTAAAATGAAAGGGCTAAAGGAATTCAAAAACAACAACAAAAAAAGCTCCTAAAAACCCACTGCGATGGAGTCGATTCTTCTTAGTAACTGTACAGAACACAGGAGAGGCTGTCAATCTATACAGGAGCAGACATTCTTCTCTTTCTCCCTTGAAGGGACTGGTGGGTTTGAACTGCCAACCTTGTACCTAGCAGTCCAATGCACAACCAAGTAAATCCCACAACCTTGTCTTTTGGCATAATTCTTCTGAATCTTTTTTTATTCAACTGCATGTATGAGGGAGCTTCAAAAAGTCTGTGGGAAACTTTCATTATCTTTTCATTGCATTTTTCCACAAACGTTTTAAAGCCCCCTCATATATATTCAAACACAAAGCTATACAAAATTGTGATAAAATGTTAATTCCCTTGTCATGCTAAATGGGAGCAAAAATAAGGCTAGCTAGCATACTGAGCACAAGAGTACTAGAACTTCTTCTGGGCACTAAACCAATGCCTACAACTCTGTGAGTTAAGGACCATTATCTTCATTTTATAAAGAACATAAATTTAAAGAGGTTAGTAACGTGCCCAAGGTTACAAGGCCAGGAAGTTGCTTATAGTCTTGATTATTATATTTAATCACTCCATTGTCTCTTACCTCCCAGAATTAAAATAGGAATCAGGAAAAAGATAGCACTGAACTCTGGAGAGATATAGGTATCAACAGTTTCTTAAAAGGAACAAAGGTAGCTGGTGGCAGAGCTCTGTAAACCCAATACACCAGACAGCATCTTAGTGATCTGTGTTCAAACAGGGGGCACATTAAACCGGGAGTCATAACCGAGAGTTGCCCTGACATCAGATTCCAAAGAGCACCTTGAACGAACCAGAAAAGAAAGCAGAAAAGGTATTCCCTGGGGAAGAAAGAAAATCTGATCTACTGAAGAACTCTGCTGCAGACAAAGGAACTGGGGCTGATTTGATAGTGTGTAACAAAAGGTGTCAAAAATTACAAAGCACCACAGAGCACATCCCTGCTGTCAGGAGTGTGGACTCTGATGTCAGACTGCCTGGGTTGGAAATCTGGCAGTGTGACTATGTGGTAAGTTATCTTTCTTTGACTCAGTGGTGTCATCTGTAAAATGGGGTGTAACAGCATCCACTTCAGAAAGTTACTGTGAGGAATAAACTAATTAATAAATGTACTCAGAATTGTGTCTGGTAAGCATTATTAATTGCTAGATATTATGTGTCAGAATCAATTCGATCGCAACCAGTTTATTACACTAGATGTTTAGAACCTCTGCTCTTTACTCATGTGTGGCACTATTCTTATTTTCAACTATTTATTTGATTGAACTGGACTACCGTAGTTTATTTCTATCATAATTTTTTAACATTAATCAAGTGGACTACATCTGTGGAAAGAGTCAGGGGAAAAGTTCATTATCATCCGTCAGAACAAGGCCAGGGGCTAACTGAGGAACAGACCATCAATTGCTTATATGCAAGTTTAAGATGAATTTGATAAAATTTGAAACAAGTCTTCAGGAGTCAAAGAATGACCTGAATTTTGAGACCATCTCAAGAACAGATTAAGACTAGTGACCAAAGACCAGGTGAACTGTAGGATGGCATCAAGGACATCACACAAATACAAAGCAAAAGGATGGTGATTAGGAGAGACTCTCAAAGTCACTTTTGAATATAGATAGATTACAACAAAAATAAACAATGAAATAAAGCGTGGAACAGATTTCAAAAAGCCAAGTTGATTAGTCAAAATAAAGTATTATAATGAAGTTGTGCAAAGATGAAGAGTTAGAAACCAGCAGATAAGAGCTCAGCATTTCTCAAGCTGAAAGAACTGAAGAAAAAAATCAAGCCTTGAGTTGCAATACTGAAGAATTCTATGAGCAAAAATAATGATGCATTCAAGAAAAATCAATGATGGAAGAAACTCACAGAGTCACTATATCAAATAGACCTGGTTTGTGGTAGTGGAGTAAGTCCGAGCTGCACTGAAGACACCAGTGAAAAAACAAGGTTCCAGAAATTCAGATGTTTCAATAAACTCACTCATTGGAAGATATCCATACTCACGCCTATTCCAAAGAAAGGTGGTTCAACAGAATGAGGAGATTACTGACCTATATCTTCAGTACTACATACAATTAGAATGCTCCTGGAGATAGTTTTAAAATGGTACCATCAGTACATCGACCAAAAAAAAGAAAAATTCAAGCCAGATTCAGAAGAGGATGTAGAATGAAGGATATCATTACTGAGAATACTACAGAATACTAGAAAATTGTGTGTCTACATTTTGGTGACTGTACAAAGGCATTCTATTGTGTGGTTCATAATGAATTATGAGTAAAATTGCAAAAAATGGGAATTCTAGGACACTTAATCATATTCATGGAGAATCCATACCTAGACCAGGAGGCAGTAGTTTGAGCAGAACAAGGGAATACTGAAAATTAAAACAAGTGTAGATCAGAAAAAATCAGGATTGCATCCTTTTACAGTAATTTTTTTAAACATATTTATTCAGTCAGTGTGCTGGGCAAATAATTTGAGAAGCTGGACTAAATTAAAAGCCCAGCATCAGGATTAGAGGAAAACTCATTAACAAACAACCCGTGATATGCAGATGATACAATTTTGCTAGCTTAAGTAAACAGGCCTTGAAGCATTTTTTGGTGAAGATCAGACTATAATCTTCAGTATGGATTACACCTTAAGGTAAAGAAAATTAAAATCCTCATAATTGGACCAATAGACAATATCCAGATAAATAAACAAACAAGATTACAGGGGTCGAGATTTCATTTTGCTTGAATCTACAATCAGAGCCACGAAAGCAGCGGCAAGGAAATCAAACGATGTGCTACACTGGCCAAGTCTGGTGCAAAAGACCCACTTACAGTGTTACAATGCAAAAACATCACTTTAACAACAAGTTGCACCTGCTCTAAGTCATGGTACTTTTTAAATCACCTTCTATGCATGCAGAGCCTCAGCAATGAGAAAGACGGAAGAAGAACCGATGCCTTTGAACTGTGTGGTGTTAGTGAAGAATACGGAGTATACTATGGACTGCCAGGAGAATGAACAAATCTGTCTTGGAAGAAGGACTGGCAGAATTACTCTTTAGAAGCAGTCCAGGAGAAAAACATTATGCCTGGTAACAGCAGCCAGTCAGAAGAGGAGGAAGATCCTTAATGAGAGGAATTGACACAGCGGCTGCAGCAATTGTAAGGTTGATACACTGTTTCTATTGTGCATAGAGTTGCCGAGTCAAAAATGACACAATGGCACCTAACACTAACAACTATTTAGGTAACCAGTTGGGTCAGCCCTACTTCCTTTCCCCACTGACCAGCAGTGCCCCCTCAGTCATAACGGTGCCCTATGTAACTGGATCTATTTCTGGGCTCTCAGTTGGGTTTCAGATTCACTTGTCCATCTCTGTTCTACTCACAACATTAAGAGCTTCAAATCATGCATTGGTTTCTGTTAGAGCAAGTCTAGCTATCTCGTCTTTCTTCTGACTAGTCTTGGTTCCTTGATATTTCATATAAATTTTAGTATTGCTTTTTTTAAATTGCCTTCATCAAACTATTCCCCCTCCCCAAAAAAACTCTGTTGAAAATTTCACTGAAATTACACTGAAATTTTAAACCAATAGGGAAAACTTTCATCTCTGTGTTATTGAGCCCATCTGATCATGAACACAGTACTTCTTTCCACTTCCTTAAGTCTACTTTGGTTTTCAATAAAATGTTTCAATTTTCAGTTTTTCAAATTTGGCATCTCTTTTGCTAGATATATTCCTGGAACTTTTCTGTCATAGTCAGTTTTGGTTGTAATTATTATTGTAGCTTGTATCCCTTCTAGAATTATTTTTCTACTTGTTATTAATAAAGAGAAATGTCGTGGGTTTTCTTATCCTATATTCAGCAACTCCTAATTTTAATGATTCTTTGTATTATTTTGAATTTTCTA